TTTTTTTTTTTAAATGATTTGAAGGTACGGGGGTGCAGAAGGGCCCCGCACCACCCCCCTTCCGCCCCCATCCCGACCGTACCCCCGTCCACGTGGGCGGAAAACCCGTGAACGGGCGCTCACGGATTCAGGCCCGGTGACCGGCCGGTCACGGACAGGTGACCGGTGCCGGTCATGTTCACGGGGTCGGCACTGCTTTGGGGCAATAATGCACTATCTGCACATAAAAGGAAATCTACAACAGAAAATAAGAGATACGAACGCTCAGGACCCGATATATAGTTATCTCCTGAGAAGAGTTAAAGAAATCTCTGATAGCAAGCCATATTATAGAACCACAAACAGGCTACTCTTTGAGAAGACCAATGTCATTGATTGATTATGCGTCCCCAATAGTGAAGAGATCCATACTTTGCACTGAGGGGAATGCCGTGATACAGAAGGGCTCTTCGGCTAGCAAAAGACATTAGCCAACCAATAGATGCCGTATACATGGTCTGGCACACTAGCGAACCTGCTGGTTTTTTTTTTTTTACGTTGTCCTTTTTTTTATTTATTTATTGATTGATTGATTTTTGATTGGTGGGGGAGGGATCTCCTCCCTCCAGTGCTGAAAATTGTGAAAATTGACAAATTGAAATGTTCATGAAATTTCATGAAAGTGCACTTTTGGCTTGCTGTTTTATATGTTTTTAATTTTTGTTTTTTGGTTTTGTTTTTACAATATGTTAGTAAGAAGTGCACACTACAGATTGGTGTAAAGTATGGTTAAAATGGCCCTTTGGTTTTCTTATAAATGAGGGTGAAAATTGGGGGGTCGGTTAACCTTCTCTCCCCCCTCCCCGCCCCCCCTGCACACACACACACACACACACACACACATAAAAAGTATTAAAAACCCGTGCGTTTATGCGCCTTTTTCTTTTTTTCTGTATCAATCAATCAATCAATCAATCAATCAATCAATCAATTTGTATGTGTGTGTGTCAAAATTTCAAAAACGAAAAACAAAGAAAAAAGGACGAAAATGTCTTTGGTTTTTTTTTAGTTATTCTCTTTTTTCGCTTTGGTCTTTGCATCTGTCTGTAAAAAAAAGAATAAGAGAAACATATGCACGATGTTTATCCCACCAGCAATTGGAAAAAAGTGAAAAAAAAATTCCCTTTTCTTTTAACTTTTCTTTTGATTAGGATACTTGTTAAAAAAAAAAAAAAAAAAAAAAAAACGTTGAAACCCTAAAACGAAAATATGGGGTTGTGGGCCTTTTGAAACCCTAACCCCAAGCAGCGAAAAATGCACTGAAATGACACCGAAGGACTCGGAAGGAGAACCAAGCAGCGAACTCAATTGTCAATGAAAGCAAGTTCTCGCGATCACCACATATGCAATCGAAGCTTAGGATCCTATTGGCCCTCAGCGCCCAGACTATTTCCTACGGCTACTATCTTCAGCTACATCATGCGACCCATTGACGTCAGCAGCAGCGACCAAAGTACCTATCTTCGCCAAGATCAGGTACGTGTCCTCACATCATCATCCTCATTTCTCTCCCTTCCTCACCCTCATCTTCTTCACCCACGTCTTCACCTGGTTCACCAGACACGCCACCACCTCCCGCTGACTATCCAAGCCGAGCCCGGCAGTGGTTGGGCTGGCTATGGCGCTTCCCTCAGCAGCACCCTTCGTCTCACGTCCCCACACGCGCTCAGGCACTAGCATTAGCGCAGCAAGCAGCCCGTGAGCGCCTGCTCCAGCAGAGCTGCCACTTGGACCTCCAAGTGCCCGAATGAATTGCCCTGCGCCCAGACTTCTCCCATATCGAAAGAGGCTGGACTCTTTCCTTGCTTGCCTCGTGCGTTCCCGTTTCCAGTAGCTTCTGATTGGGCCAAAGTGTCAGCGCCCAGGGCCGTTCAGACAGTGGCCTGGGACCGATCTGGTTACGCCAGCCCAACTACCCAACCAAATTGGTTAGGCCAGCCCAACTACCCAGGTGTAAATGTGACGCTGTCTCGCGTTGCCTGCGTCTGGAGGAGCCTGGAAGGCTTACGTGATTTTCACGAGCAAGGCGGATGTAACCAACTGGGGCGTGTCAACTGTCTGGCGCCCACCAAGATTTGCAAAATTGATGAATACAGGGCTTATGCCAATTTCAGGGCCCGCCTTCACTTGGGGCTGGCGCACTTGCTGTAACGGCCCCCGCAGGCCTGCGAGGAGCAAATCCTCGCATTTGGACGCAAAAACAGCACTATTTTCACAGAGCCCCACCCATTCCACCTCACAAGGAAAAAATCAGATTCCTTTTATTTTTTAAGCTATATTCTTCTCTCACGTTCACCTTTCAGGCCCAGACTATTGAAATGTGGGCACTACCTGCCCACGCATGGTCCAATGGACCCTACAGGATAATGAATCTTGTGCATAAACAGCACCAGATTCATAGTGGCGGTACCTCCAACAGAGATTGGGAGGCCCAAGTACGGTGTCACGGCCTACCCGTAGGGCCATGGATGTGGAAGAAAAGCAGCTACAGGTTCATAGCCCGGAAGAAACAGGCCAAGAGAGCTGTGGCCACAGCGGGAAGGCGCCTTCCACCCGAGGAAAAGAAGTTTGGGCTGGTAGTACAAAACGCCCAGACTTTGGGCGGCCGAAACCTAACACGGGTTTTGTCATGGGCGCTTTCCACCAGTTATTCACCCTAGCAATACTCCTAAGCCTACACAGGGGCCTGCAAGAAGAGCTACCTCTCACAATTGAAGGGATGAATGTGGCCCCATCCCTTAATGGGCGGTGGTCAGGGAGTAGGGTGGGGCTGCCGGTGGTGGTAGGTGGCTATTCTCCCTGGCCGTCCTAAAATACACTACCTTCCAAGCGATAATTGGTAGGTAGGGCCCACCGGGAAACCGACTGGGTTAGTCATGCCCAAGGTTTCCCCGCCGGCCCAAACGTTTCCCTCTGGGCACCACCCTCCCTTGCCCCGTGGCCAATGGGTCTGCGGATCATGAATCTGGCAAGAACCAGCTCCATATTCGGTTGAGAGAGGCCCAGAGACGTGCTGTGACAGGTCCACGAAGGTGTCGTGAAAAGGAAGGGCCTACCTGATCATGAGTCTGGCTGAAAACATCACCGATTCATAGTCACGTAGAAAGAGGGCCAGGCAGGTGTGACCACGGGGCCAAGGCGCACACCAATTGTCCCACCTTCCAAGCTTGGCTTTTCCACTTCATGGATGCAGAATTGCCCCTTCTCTTGTTGTAACAAAGCAACCTTCGTTTCCGCCTCCGCTAGTCTTGCGTCCACTCAGCGGCAGCATGCACAAGGGCTTCCGAGACTAAAGAGCCTGACCAGATTCCTGCAACACCCCCCCCTTTTTTTTACAACTAAGCTACAGTCTTCTCTCAATCTGTGTATACACTCATCTTTCTCATCTATCTCATCCTCTCCCTAGTCTATGTATGCATAGTGCGGGGAACACCAACCAGCCCCCCACCCCTGTGACCTCACCCCAACCTGACCAGGTCCTCTCAAATCGAGACACTGCGCATGAGACCCAAGGCGTTACCCGGATGTCAGGAGGCCTTCTTTGAGCGCGCGCCTTCCATTCTTTCCTCAGCTCAGACCGAACTGTGCAAGGACTTCCAAATTTCGCGGTATGCACCCCCTCTCGTCAAAGGCTACCACCTCCTCTAAAACACCTTAGACCTTGCACCTTTCACTCATCCCTCTTCCCCCTTCCCCATGCTCCTGGGACACCGATGCTTATCCAAACTTCCTGTGACAATAAACAGTGCGGCAATCATCAGGACCCCGCATCGTTAGCCTTAGCTTAACAGCTGCTCCAGAACTTGCTTTTTCGGGACTGACCTCAAAGTCTTCTGGGCAGTCCATGTTCGCTGAATTGTCCGCTGCTCCGGGTGCTGGAAAAGGTCCGAATGTTGGTGCATGACTCGGAGTAAGCCGTTGAAGTCGGAACCGGGACCACCTTTTGACTTCCTCTGCTGTTGCCACTCCCGAAGCTGTGCCCAGTAAGCTTCCAGGAATGGCTCCAGTCCAGCTACATGATTGGGAACCATTAGCCTAAGCAGCGTCGCGATCACGGCGGCACTATTCGACCTGATCTCGGCCATGCATCTGGCAGACAATGCATCTAGTCCCAGTTGAGTCGGCAGCTTAAGACTGTCCGGGGGATATCGAAGAATCAGGAGTCGTCGTCGCAGGACGGGCAGCGACCAGAATTCGGAAGATAGATGGGATAGGGTCTCCTCCGTCATTCCCTCGTGACAAACAAGCAGTCGAAGGATGCGAGTCACACTTCGAAGAAGGAGAAAAGTATGAACAGCTTCCTCCAAATCCTCCATCCCTAACGTGTCGTCCCTGTGACACTCGTTGTGAACAGTCTCTCCGAATGTACAAGGTGGCCTCCACGCAGGATTACCACACGGTTCAACCATCCATAGGTGGAAAATAGCCCAATATCTCTTTAACCACCCGTCCTTCGCTGTCGCTCTTTGGACACGCAACTGCACGAGTACACATCTGCAGAATTGAAGGGCTTCCCAGCACATATACGAGATAACCTCCTTGCAGTCCTGAATGTTGGCCAGAACTGGTCTGGTCAGCGAGCCCATTGTGTTGACTGATGCTTTCCAAAGCTGGTCCGAGAGCAACACTTCTAGCACATCGGCAGCTAGCCCAACTGCGGAGGCATCACAGTGCTGGAAATCCAAAGGGCACCAGACGAAGTTAGCGCGATCCTCATACTCGCCCTCGATGCGAGCAGCTAAGTGATGCTTTGAACGGGTTTTCTGCGATTGGTGCCCGTGTTCTGAACTTAACATCTGGGAAATCAATTTCCAGCCCATTTGAGTAGGGCTGGAGATAGAGTAACAAATGAGTCTCTTATCAAGAAGTGAAGAGGTAGCAAGAAGGTCCCGCATCGTGTCCAGCACCTCGCGGGTGAACCAGTCAATCTCTCTCCTCCCACACACATTAAAGTTGTAGTCGAGACACTGAACCAGAAGCTCTGCGAGCTCCACATCCATGTATCTGAAGTCCTGACAGATGCAGATCTTGACCACGTGCAGCTTCGAGAAAGCGGAGAGACCTGATTTCTCTTTCTTCTCGCAGCAGTGAATCATCAATCCCTTCAGAGGAAGATGTATCGCGCATGGATGAGGGAGTGGAGGCGGCAGTGAGCAGAGAGAGGGGGGAAACTCTTGTAGCCTCATTTCGAACCGATGCCAGTAGACCATCCTCGGGCTGAACAGGTAGGCGAAGATCCGGATGAGAGTCCGCCAAGAGCTTCTCGAAAGACGGCTTCCGCTTTCCGACTTCCAGAAACTCCAGTAGAAGTCTCTGCGTTCGGCTGGAATTCAGCTGAGACGCTATCTTGCCGATGAAGGCCCGGACCTCCGGTCGGCCGAAGTTGGGTATGGGCGTCTGCAATGGCCAATCCCCTGGCCCTAGAGTGGAGAAAGCATTGCAAAATCTGCTCGGTGGAGGACGCTCCATCTCCAACCAACCTATACGGGCATTTAACTCGCTAGCAGCCTGTGCGAAAGAACAGATTGCGCCAAGGGCCGTCTCTTGGAGACGGAGCTTGTCATTGTCTTCCTCTTCCTCTACCTCTGCCTCTGCCTCTGTCTCTTCCTCCCCTTCTTCTGCACACCCATCCAATAGATTGAACAAGTCCTCGACCAGTTCATATCCCGAGTGGGTGTAAAACCGTCTCATGTCCTGATCGGCATCCGTCTGGTTTCGCCAGGGCTGCCATGGGAGCACAGCAAGGCCCGAAGCCAGTCGCCCCGCGATGAATGCAGCGAGTCGGACCTCTTTGGCGCATAAGGGGTAAGTCGTCCAGTGCAGCACACGTCTGAGAACCAGATACCCCAGTGGTGTGCCCAGATCTCGACCGCAGTCGACATCTATGGCGAACCGATTTGCCTGGGGTATGTCTTGAATGACTTCCGCCATCCCATGCCCTAGGTCTGTATTCCGGAACCGTGATAGCTCATAAAGAGCCTCCAGTGACATAGTCAGCTGCCCCCGGTTCATTCTCACAGGATCTTCATCGTTAGACTCGCAGGATTTCACCGATAGGGTTGACAAGTTCAGCCAAATAATGCGCAACAGTTCAGACACATTGTGAAACCAAAACGCCGGCAAGCCACATCTATCGACGTGATCCCTTGCGTCCTCCGCGGTGAAGCCTGGGTGCTCACGGAAGTGGTTCTGGAAAATGAACCCTAGCTCCATCTCTCTCTGAGTCCGCCATAGCCGCTCCCAAAACGGACCTTCGGGGTGACCTGCCAAAATGGGAGAAGAGGGATTCGTTTTGCCAAATTACATCTGAACGTTTCGAAGCCAAAGCCCGTAAGTAAGGACCAACCAAAAGGGCCGACAAACTGACGAGGTGGAACATTACGGATATGAAGATTAGGGTATCAAATTGCTTGATATTTAACATCTCACGCATCCGGCATGCGGTGAAACTTCTCCGCAGAGGTCCGAAAACCGTGTCGCATGCGAATTTCAAGGAAATACGCGAGAAGTCGCACCGTCACACACAACCGAAACCCATCCCGTCGCACACTTACTCTACGCTCAAAGATTCGCTCATCGGGATTGAAGGGAAAGAGGAAGTCCTCAAAGCCCCGCATTTGAATCCTAGCGCAGGACATACCCTTCCAACACCTCGAACGAACATACGCCACATACGGGGAAACGGCTGTAAAAACGGAAAGAAGGATGCAGTAGCGAAGCACGTCCGGGTGGACGTCTGAACCGAAAGCACTCAACTCCAGCCCAATCAAAGCTAAGGACATATACGCCAAAAAACTCTCCATTCGCTCAAGAATAGATAATAACCTCAACACACGACGAGTACGCAGACAGAATGTGTAAACCATTTCCACCGATTGAAATTAGCACACAAAGCATATATTCGTCACCCAGCCTGTGAACTCCACAATCTCTCAAAACGTACCTGATTATTAATTCGGTAAATGTGCTCGCTGATTTATACAGCTCCCCCCCCCC